GCTTTCCGACAATCGTCATTCCACCATGGGATGCGACGCTTATTAAACTCCGTTAGTTTGCTTAATACATTTCACTGCAGCATCAATAATAAAATCTGTTAGGTATGTCACAGCATCATCTATATTAAAATCAGCAATGTCCTCTCCATCTAAAAATGTGTTTTCTCGGAACAGTTCCCAGTTGGCTGACTTGGTGTTCCAACGAGGAAAGTCAGGCGAGCATGTAACTTCTTTAGTTAGCTTCAACATTATCGGGAAGTGGTCACTCCCAAAGGGGTTCTTGAGAACAGACCACTCGAGATAAGGAATTAGTGTACTCGTGACAATACTCAGGTCTATTGAAGAGTATGTGTTGTGCGTAGTGCTATAATATGTTGATTCTTTTTTGTTAAGTAAACATGCACCTGACGAAAACAGAAAGTGTTCTATTAGGTGTCCTCGTGCATCCAAACGGGAGTCGCCCCATAGAGGATTATGTGCATTTAGATCACCAACGACTATATATGGCGGAGGAAGTTCATCAATGAAACTTTGAATTTCTGTCTTCGAAAGTTGATAGCATGGAGGAATGTAAATAGAAGTAATTGTTAGTAGCTTCCCAAACAGCACTGCTCGGACAGCAACTGCCTCAAGAGAAGTACGGAGGTTTATTTGCTTACAGGCAACACCTTTATCAACTATTAGAGCGACACCGCCCGACGAGGCGGCAGCGTCGTCACGGTCTTTGCGGAAGATGGCATATTGCTTAGAAAGTTTCTTTGTGTGGACTTGAGATGTGTTTCCTGAACACACAGCACCTTTGGAGTATGTTTATTAAGGAGTTCTCTAATATCATCGAGGTTATGGAGAAGTCCTCTCACATTCCACTGTAAAATCTGCGTGTCCATTTTAGATGTTTTGTGCTGTGTGCTCAAGAATGGAAAATTAGCTCACGGACCCTTTCCAGGGGCCGTGACACGAGATTTTTCTTTTTTGGATCGGTCGACGGAGTCGCGCCGATCCTTAGGCGCTTGCTGCGCCCTCACGCTCGGAGTTGTGTCCATTGCCTCTAGCGAGGCACTGGACAAGCGCTCTTGCGAGCGCTGCAGTTGTTTTGAGGGCCTCGCCTCTAAAGACAAGGCCTTCGCTGCCCCCAGCCCGGAGGTTGGTGGGTCCTTCTTCGATGGCGGAGCAGCACTGGCTGCAACCACCGAGGGGGCGGATGGCGTCACCACTGGCCCACTACGCGTGTGCCAAACAGGCGCCGGAGGCCGTCGTGGCGCTGCCCCCTGACGCGCCACTTCGGCAAAGCTGGTTTCTGGCAGGTAGGACACCTGCCTTCGTGCCTCCCTATATGAAATGTTTTGTTTTACTTTAATTGTGACAATTTCCTTTTCTTTTTTCCAGCTTGGGCATGACCGTGAGTATGCGGCATGCTCCCCGTTACAGTTCGCTCAGTGAGGAGAGTTTTCACAGGCATCAGATGCGTGTTCGTCAGCACTGCATTTCGCACAAGTTAGGCGGCCTCGGCAGTTCTGAGAACTGTGGCCGAACCGCTGGCATTTGAAACATCGGAAGGGGTTTGGTATATATGGCCTCACTCGAAGCTTGATATACCCAGCCTCAACGGAGTCGGGCAGTACACTTGAATTGAAGGTAAGTATCAGGTGTTTAGTCTGGACTTCTTTGCCATCACGCCTCATGCTAATTCGTTTCACGTTTATGACATTCTGTTTGCTGAAGCCCTCCAGGAGTTCAGCCTCCGTCAGCCCTAGCCCCGCCGCGGTGGTCTAGTGGCTAAGGTACTCGGCTGCTGACCCGCAGGGCGCGGGTTCGAATCCCGGCTACGGCGGCTGCATTTCCGATGGAGGCGGAAATGTTGTAGGCCCGTGTGCTCAGATTTGGGTGCACGTTAAAGAACCCCAGGAGGTCTAAATTTCCGGAGCCCTCCACTACGGCGTCTCTCATAATCATATAGTGGTTTTGGGACGTAAAACCCCACATATCAATCAATCAATCAATCCATCAGCCCTAACAGGTCATCATCTGAGACAACGCCACGGGTGGTCATGGTTCGGTGTGGGGTTACTATTAATTTGGTATCTCCAAATTTCACTAGGTTAGGCAATTTTTCATATTGTTTCTGGTCGCGGAGCTCCAAGAGGAGGTCACCACTTGCCATTCTCGAAGCTTTATATCCTGGGCCAAAGATTTTTGTCAAAGACTTTGAAACAAGAAAAGGTGAAATTGTTCGCACTGGTTTGCCGGGCGTGTCAGCGTGGATAATGTGGAATCGGGGGAAAAGATACTCTCTGGTGGCCAAAAAACTGGAATACTTCATCGGTGCGCCCTCTTTTCTGAGGGCGATCAGGAAGTGAGGGGAAGGAGCTAGCCATAAGAAAAGGTTTATTTCGGCAGCGGCGCCAGCCACTCACCATGGAGTCCTACAAGGGGACGCTGCAGGGTCTGTAAGCACAGGACCTGCAGACGCCAGCTGTACACCACCACTATAACCGAATATGGTGTATCCAAGGTAGGATAGCCACACAGGGGTAACCCTTGCCGCCAGGAAACACGGAAGTCAACGGAAGAGAGTAGAGGACAGGAAAGATTTAAAGTAAGAGAAAAGACGAAGATGTGAGGGGGAGACAGGAAAAGGCGACTGCCGATTCCCCCCAGGCGGGTCAATCCGGGGGTGCCGTCTACGTGAAGTCAGGGCCAAAGGGGTGTGTTGCCTCTGCCAAAAGGTCCAATCACCCAGCGTCAGCTCAACCCCCCCAGGATCCCCTTTTCCCCGGACACGGCAAAGCCACGCACGGCTAGGCGTGGGAGGGAGTCAAAACTCCCACGTTAACTCGGGTCCGTGGTGTAGCTACACACCAAATGCCTACTTGCGCAGGCGCCCCTGCGGGGGACTCTCGCGAAATCTCCAACAGCCGAGACCAAAACAGACAAGACGGCTCCGACTAACACAATTCGGTGGTCGTGGCAGCAAATGAAATCCGTGTGAATTTTGATGCATTGAGAACCTAAATAAGTAACCTAAAGCCAATAGGTGAACAGGTGCAGTGGATTCTGATGGCTACTAAGCTGGAGCACAATGTTGGATGACTGAACATCATTTACGAAGCAGCAGGAACCCGATGATGTGAACCACTGTCATAGATTTGTGGGTTATGTATACCAGGCGTCGTGTGTGCGATTTGAAATCCTTTGAACTGTGGTGGTTGCTGCGTGTGCCTAACCAGAAAATGTCTGAATGAACGCCTGCAAAAGCAATCCAAGTGTTAGAAAGTCAAGGTTAGCTTTGGTCATGCATCAAGCAGGCGTGTGGATGCACGTTTGTGTTCTACAAAGCTCCGGTGATTTTTCTTGCACACGGTGCTTTCATCATTGTGAAAACAGCTATTATGACGTGAAGTATGACACCTGCAGACGCCGCCCCCAATGGGGGCATTTTTCTATTCAGCATTGAGCAACCCCAGCTTACTTCCTTTTTTTTTTCTTCTTTCGTCTCATGATCTGAGAAAATGTCTAGCAAACAACAAATGTTAAATTGGCAGTAAGTGTTCGTCTTTGCCATCTCTGTCCCTCATGCTGCTAGTTCACCTAGCCTGAACACCCCAAACCACTACTCTTCCTCGAAACGATCGCCTCGTCACATGCCACGACTTGTATGTTGCGTCAACAAATATCCGTTATTACAGCTTCTTGCTTCTCCACGAGATAGCGTGAAGCAACACCCAAAGCAGGCCTGTTGGCACTCAGGTGCAGTACATGTTTCAGATGTTGCACACGGTAAACTAATGCTGTAGCACGCAGCCTTAAACGTAGCGCAAACAGCACATTGCACAAGTACAGCCTTGCATACAGTAAACTAAGATTGGCTAATAATGTTAAAAACTCATAAGAGTGCACACAAAATCTACCAACGATTGTTGCTTGCATCCACCTCTTTACAGCACCCCCTTCAATATTGACGAGCAAAAATGGGGCTACAGCTCACAAATGCGAAATGATCTTGCCAGCAGAGACTGCTAGTAGATGGCGCAATGCGGAGTCGTATCAGAGGTGGCCTGCCTGTATCTACACGACACCGTCACGCTACAACTCGCAGCACTCGCCTTACACTTGACTGACAGCTGCATACCACGACCCCACACAACGGCGAGCTCGAAAGCAAGACTAATTTATTGTTACACGGGCGTGCTAACCTCAGCAAACATTTATATTTTTAATCGCGACGTCACGACCCAAGCCAAGAATGACTTTTAGGGTGAAGCCAGGACACTTTGAACGAGGCGTGACAATTCAACAACGCGCAAAGGTCCCCGTACTCGCTCCCTCCTGCAATGCTAGCCATATTTTGACGACTCGCACAGATCGACACAGAACTCGACCGAAATTAAAAGGGGCGGCAGCCGATACGGCTTACGTTGTTGCGTGCACGCGTTTATCACACCTCAATCAGACAGTCAAAGCATGTCATCGGCTCAACGGCCGCGCGTGCGTGAACAAAAAAATCATGACTTCGCACAAAGCCAGCTGCGCACGCGCTGCACAGACAGTTACGCGCACTCAAGGATGTCGCGCAGGCGAACTAAACATTGCTCGAATCACGAACTTTTTCTAAAGCACCACCAACTACGAACACCGAGGCCTAAACTCGTCTCGAATGAATGGCACATTCATGGGGCACGCGCTGGCTTTCGTTTTAACGACTGCATCTCGATCTGCGCTCGCTGGAGTGGTCACGATGTAGGCGAGCTTCGCTCGGCTATCAGTGAGGTTATCGCGAGCCTCGACACCTCGGGTACGTCGCCTACGCTCCCGTCCGCATCAGGATAGACTGAGCTTTTCCGTTGTAACCTAAGTCTCGGCATTCACTGCAGCCTACGCGGAGTCGTTCCATGCGTAAGCCTAACGTCGTCCGAGTGCTCGTCTCCGTTTCTTTCATCTATGTGATCTGCATTATTGTTACGACGACACATGCTAAAAAAAAAAAAAATGGGCCTACTTACGCTGACCGACAGGGTACATCCTCGTCCGTGTGTGCTCTGTGTGCACGACGTTGCCTGTTTCGAACCACGGCCTGGAACGGAGGAGGAGGAAAAAGCGGACGCCGACCTATCCGCACGACGTTGGTGTTCTGTGACGTCACTAGTTCACTGGTACACCACAGAACACCTGGGTACACTCTAACGTCACGGAAACACACGCAGAATGAACTAGAGGGCACTTTGGCGCTGCGATCGTCCAGCGACCATAGGAACGATGGGTAGGGTAGTACACACATTTGCCTAGTCTTCGTACTTGCGGGCGGCGAATCGTATTTGCGGCTTCGTTTATTGCTGGTTACGGTTTTGTTTTAAAAGAAAAAACAAACCCTTTAAAACTTTGTAACTTGATTCGTAATAGTAAGTCTGAAAAAAATCAGGTTGTGAAGCGCAAACGGTGAACATTTCCTAACTTATGTTTTCGTGAAAAAACAGCTCCAAGCCACACGAACACACACGGAGCCAGAAGCAGTCCAAAAGTACGAAAATTAGACAAATGTGTATATTACTAGTAGAGGTGTGCGCCGGCTGGTCGGCGCGCCGCCGCCGCCGACGTTTTTCATCGGCGCAATTGGCATGCCGTTTATGCGCCAGTACTGACTTTTCACAGATTTGTCTTCTTTTTCATCTTGATTTATAGCTTCGTTTCACATTTTATGTAGCCAGTAAAAACCAGGCTTCTTAGTTATCTTCATCCAGCTTCAGAGACCGAGAGTACCACTATGAACAGCGGAACGAGTTCGGCGGCCGCTGCATGAAATGACATATTGGACAAATTGACAAAAAATAAATGTAACAGTTACAGTAAAGCATAGACACTGCCATGTTAGGCTTAAAAGCAAATTTTGCTGTTTTTTGTGTCGTAATTGGCTATGATTATGGTGATACGACGTTGAATGTAATGGCCCAGCGTTTTGATGCGTGCGAGTTCGCCATAGCACAATTCGAATATTCATACGGATGGAAAACGGCATCATTATCAGTCCAAGATGCCAGCCTATAATTGTGCCCGAAACAGGGCGTATATAAAGAAAAAATGAAGTGGTAGCAGTGCAGCACGAATTCAGCGCGTTAGATGAAGGGAGGAGGAGGAATAAATGAGGAAGGACAGGGAGGTTAGGCGTTAAATGAAGAACTACACAAAACCCCGAAGAATGAAATCGAAAGGGAGAAGTTTAATGAAGAATAAAAGCGTCGAGGCATAATACGTGCTCGAACCTACTCAGGGTATATCAGCACCTGTCCGCGGTGTTAAAGTTGGTAATTTTCGAGGATGACCACTTATATGCAGCGTCTTAACATGCTGCAGAAAATATTCACTATCTGTTTTATTCTTTAACTTATCTGTTTCTACCGGCCTTTTAAGACATTGGATACCCGGGATGAAGATGCCAAGGCAGTAGTGCTACCCCAGAGAGGATGATGTGCATTAAAACCGCTGATCACAATGTGTGGCCTTTGTGCCGCTTGAAGAATGGTCCCCAGGTGGAAGCAGTCCATCTGTGCGCTTGGGTGTATGTATCCTCCTATTACGGAGAATGTTCGCTTTTTATGTGTTATAGTCAGGCTCACGTAATCATTGCTGGTATGCGATGCGACTTCATGTCTCAAGAACGTCAAATCATGGCGTATACAAACGAGAACTTTGCTCGTACGTTGATCACTGCGGGACCAAATCTGGATATATCCAGATATACGAAAAGGTGAAACCATATTCGATTCACATATAACGATAACAGGAAATTGATATTTAAAACCCATTGTCTGAAGTCTGACAGACGGCCACGTAGGCCACGAGCATTCCATTGCATAACAAGCGACTGGCGCTTGCGTTCTTCGAACATCAGTGCCATATTCACTTACTGAAGAACCAGTAAAAGAGGTTCCAAAACCTCAAGTAGCTGCACAGCCGCCTTAGCAGCGGGGGTGTCAAACCGACTGGACACTGTTCAAGGCATCTGTCAAGTCTGGCTGTGAGCACACGACTGATCCATCCGAGGTAGAAAACATCATTGCTTCTTCACTGCGTGACACAACCAAACAGGTTAATTTACCGATGCAGAGATCAGCAGTTGACTCCCAATACGAGGTCCTTTGCAATCCGTCGCCGTGCCGAACGCCGATACAAACGAACGAAGTCACCTTCAGACCTTTCCGCCTGTCGTCGAGTTCAACGACATGTTCTTCGGCATCTTGACAAGATTCACAGGCAACGTTGGAGAAATTTCTGTGGATCTCTGGACCCCAGGCAACCTCTATCTAAGATCTGGCGGGTGGTACGAAGTTTGCAGACAACTCCCCAACAACGTCAACCATTTCAAGCTGTTGCTCTACATCAGGGACGGACAGAAGTTGAGATAGCCAGTGACTACTGTAGCCTCATCGTGGACACCACTGATGATCTTGCCACTAATAAGCTTCTTACTACCATTGCGCCTCCATCGTCTGACGAGCGCCTTGATGTAAGTTTTACAATACATGAGCTTGACGCTGCGATTTCTGCCTCCCACCGATCATCGGCACCAGGACCTGACGGAATCACGTATGCTGCACTCAACCATCTTGATACAGAAGCACGACGTATCCTGTTATCTCATTATAACACCTCATGGGAGTCAGGAGAAGTCCCAGCTAACTGGAAATGCAGTCGCATTATTGCATTGCTCAAGCCGGGGAAGTGTCCTTATGCACTTTCCTCCTACAGACCAATCGCGTTAGCCATCTGCGTCGGAAAAGTGATGGAAAGAATGGTACTGGCACGATTAGAGTGGCTTCTAGAGAGCAACAACTGCTTTCCTGCATTTACGAACGGCTTCAGAAGAGGCCGATCTGCCATTGATGGTGTGGTCGACTTGATCACCAGCGTTGAAGAGGAAAGAAGCCGACGCAGACTAGTGGCGGCGTTCTTCTTAGACATTAAGGGTGCCTACGATAATGTGCTGCATTATGCGGTACTTGACGCACTGGAAGATTTCGACATCGGTGGACGACTGTACGCTTGGATTTTTAGCTACCTTAGGGACCGCACCATTTACATGACGACAAGTAACGGAGACACCGATCGATATAAGGTTCATCGTGGTGTTCCCCAAGGAGGAGTTCTCAGCCCGATCCTATTCAATGTCACAATGATCGGCCTAGCAGCAGAACTTCCCAGCACGGTGAAGATCACTGCATACGCTGATGACATATGCATATGGGCACCCAGAACTACTCGTCCGCAATTGCGAGCTCGACTACAGCGTGCAGTGACGATCACACACAAATATCTACGACGTCAGGGGCTCACTCTTTCAATCGACAAATGCGCAGTGCTTGCGTTCACGCGCAAGCATATGTCGCAATACCCGATATTTATTAATGGGACAGCGATACCTGCTGTAACGCACCACAAGTTCCTTGGGGTTGTCGTATACAGAGATCTATCGTGGACGAGGCATGTCGCCGTACTTAAATCTAAATTGAAGAGCTTTGCTCTCATTCTTCGCCACGTAGCAGGAGCAAGATGGGTCCCATCAGAATCATCGCTACTTCAATTATACAATGCTCTGTTTGTGGGATACATTCGATACAGCATGCCGGTGCTTTCCAATATGTGACCTAGTTGTATGAAGACACTCGAGAGTGTTCAAGCTCAATGCATACGAAGATGCTTGGGTCTACCACGCTGCACTTCAACAAATGGGACAATCGCAGAGGCTCGGGCTTGTCCCGTCAGTGTATACATGCTCTGCGAGCCACTTAGAGTTCACCTCCGATTACTGAGCAGACACACACAGCACCCACTGTCAGTACTACCCGCCACTCACCCAGATTGCAGTTCCTCAAAAGTAATATTGCGGCATGAAAATATTATACCATCAAGGTTTTCTCCGCCAAATGCCCCTGCAGTGCCTCCATGGGTTCTGCCTAAACCACCTATCTCTTTTAAGATACCTGGAATTACGAAGAAGTCGCTCATTTCTTCTGTTGGCCTCAGACAACTGACCCTATAACACATTTATACAACGTACAGTGATTCTCTGCACGTGTACACCGACGGATCCACCACGCTAAACACTTCCGCCGCAGCCTTTGTCATCCCAGACATAGATATCGCTCGACGATTCAAAGTGGACCATAAAACCACATCAACTGCCGCAGAGCTTGTCGCTATCCGAGAGGCAATAAGGTTTATTTCCGGCGAGCGACCTCGAGCCTGGACGATTTTCCGTGATGCCAAACCCGCTTTGCACACCATTGATTGCATCATGAAGCAAGGTCCATATTACAGCTTGGCAATAGAAATCACAGAACTTATTCAGGTTGCTTCAACAAATGGCCATCTTATACCTTTCCAGTGGATTCCCGCTCATTGCGGCGTGATGGGAAACGAAGAGGCAGCCGCTCAAGCTAAAAATGCCTTAAGCAGTGCCCCTGAAGTACGCATTGCGTTTTCACGAGCTGACACGAACGCCCTGCTTCGCTGCGTGATGCGCAGCTACACACTTTAGCACTGGACCAAACCGGAACGGCGACACCAGCGACTTCACAAATGGGACCCGGAAATGAGGTTCCGCATGCCTCCTAAATTGAAACGGCAACTCACAAGTATGATCCACCGCATTCGTCTTGGTGTAGCGTACACCAGACGTTACGCACGTATCATCGGTCGCAGTGACACCGGTCCTAATTGTGAACACTGTGATGTGCCAGAAACACTTGAGCACATATTTTGTGTCTGCCCAGCCACGGCCGCTGGATCAAAGCGCACAGGGTGCGGCCTGCTGCATGCGCCCGAAACAGCGGGAGAGACCGAGTTTATTCGCCTGCCGCCGCGGCGCTACCGGTCAAGGACAATGAAAAGCGGCGGAGTAGCGGTGCGCGCGCGAATTCCCGGGATGTTTTAACTCGCGACTCTTCGTGCTGCAAGTGGACACTTTGAATTTGATATCCTCTCAGTGCTTTGTTCCACCCTACTACGGGACCCATTCCCTTGTGACAAATGGTTTATCGCTACTAAGGGAGACGGAGTGGCCTCGACTAAGCCATCCCGCCCCTGCGACAGTCAGCTTTAAATTCATGCTTATGACAAGTTTGCCCCGTCCTCAGGCCAAAG